ATAGTAGTAAGTTGTTTATTAATCATATGCTTCATTTCTGAAACTCAAGTAATAAAGACTAGAAGAGCCACCTATGAAATCAGTCAACTTTTCACCATTAAAACACTTTCAACACTATTCCAGACTAATGAAACTTACTGCTGTGATAAGACTGATATTCTACACAGCATACACCCTTCAAGGTTAAGAAAGGGCAACAAAAGACCAAAAAAAAAAAATCTTCTGTTAACTTATAAAAGCGCGTTTCAGCCAGTAACAGGCTGTGACAGAAAATGACCACCGTGATCACCAACACACAGGATGGCTGTTCCCTGCACAGACACACCATCTTTTTCAGTTTGTAGCTGCAACTGGCATGTCCTATATCCAATTTAGTGATTACTGCTCCATGATTATCTGCCTGCAACTGGCACGTCCTATATCCAATTTAGCGATTACTGCTCCACAACTATCCGTCTAGCTTAAGACAGGTGTGGGGGCCGCAGGGTTTTCCATCAGTTTACTTCATCAAAACATCCGTTTACGTAACACAAGCTATAACAGTAAAGCCTTTAGGATGATTATTCAGTCTCTAATCCCAAACACCATCACTCCAAACCTTTAAATAAATAAATAAATCACTGTCACATCTTACCACTGCCAGAAGGTGCCTTTATAGTATGAAGGATCTCCAACCCAGGTGAAAGCACAGGTCCACACGTTCCAACCACACAGTCTAAATATGCAGTCATATTACCAGGGCCATACTATCACCCCTTAAACCATGTCTTCTGTAACATAACGCTCCTGGCTTGGTAACTGTTACATTTATGTGAAATATTTACTTTCTTTTGTCTAGTAAGTTTTGGGGTTTAGCACAGCTATTGGCTTCAGATTTGAAAACAAGGCTACACTTTCTCTTTAGGGAAGTAACTCCTACATTTTTCAAAACATTAGAAAAACCCACTTCATAAAGGTTTAAGTTTCACAGAAACCAGAGGCTTTGTAAAAGAATTTTCATCCCTCAGTTCATCCTATCGCTTGTCCAAAGACAAACAAAATTTTCATTTCCAGTCTGTCGTCTTTGGTATCAATTCCACTGCATGCACCTTACCTTTGATTTTACATAACGAACCAATTTTAGATTAGAATCACTGCAACTCATTTAAAAATTCCTCCAGAATGAAGAACACCATGAACTGAGGGTCTTCTCCACACAGGAGAGTGGAATCTTTTTAACAGACTCCAAAATGCCAAGGAGTTATATGCTTCCGGGGCTACAAATCTTAGCAACAGCAAAACATAGGGAAGTGTTGTTAAGTGCAAAACAAGAGTCTCCAACACTTGACAGAGGCTCATTCCAAAATAAAACACGCTTCTGTACATTTATATTGTAAAGTCTAAATACCCAACACAGCTTATAAATTGTACATGTATATCATCATCTTATTCACTATTAAAATAAGCGGTACTACCAACAAAACAAAGGGCTAGCCAGTGCCTTAAAGTTAGCTTGGTTTTGGGGTTGTTTGGTGTTTGTTTTTTATACAAAAAGAAGTCGATCTATGAATAAGACGACTTCTATTAAGCATACTTGCTGGATGGCTCACAGAACCCTCAGAGCCCTGCAAAGAGGTGCAGCAGCAACACAGCCTCGGCACAGTCTGATTTTCAGCCAAAGCCACCTCCCAGCTTTTGTACGTTGTGTTAAACGTTTAGTGATAAGGTATGGCATAGTGTAATTCCCCATTTTATTTAACTGTAAGTACTTGCAATGTTTGGGATAGACACCTGCTGCCATTGCAAAATTGTTGTGAAGAAAAAGCTCAATTTTAATGATACTTTAGAAATTGGATCAGCATTTGAAACGGGTTTACATCAAGGCCTGTTCAACTCTTAACCAGTTAAACTCTCAGGGAGAGTGGGTATTTGTAATTTCTTAGTCTTCAATCATGCAATGACAGTTTAGATGGATTGAGGATCGTGTGATGATATACTGAAGGTTACGAAAAACAGAGGTTATTTCTGCTGAAATCCCACACTGGGATCTAGATCAGATCTAGAATTTCACCTCTCCCCATTACATGGAGAGGAAGTTGGATCCAACTCTGGACTATGATGCCAGATTTTCTCCTTAAATCATCATTACACAAACAAAAGGCAGAAAAGACAGCAGCTATTGTGCTCAGTGATGACTGCTGTTCAAGGCTGACCTAGCAGATCAAACAGAGAAACAATGCAAACCACACAGCAAGCTTTATGCTTTCATCTTTAAAAAAAACCCCACTGGTGTCAGGATAACATGTCAGCAAGAGGGGAAGAAACGTTTTCTTACAATAGTAGTTGCAGAAAACATGGGCAAATTAGCAGGTGAAAGGAACTTCTGGCACGAAAACCTTTATTGGAGTTCCAACTCGAGAGTATGCTGCTCTGGTATTTCAGAGGATGTCTGCTGCCTCCACAGGTGTGTGCTCAGCCCACGAATCCCACAGTACCAGACCTGTTCAAGTTGTGTCTCTTCACCTCCGTATAATCTTTATTTGTTGTTAGCCAACAGCAGGTATCCCTTCTTCAGTATTTATAACGTACGCTTCATTATTGCGCCTGAATGAAACAGGGCAACACTTCACGACGTCATACCAGTTGCACCAATTTGCAGTCACACAATGCACATCTATCACGCAACATTCTCCTTTACAGTCCTATGCTCCTTTCACACCTATTTCTTTTTAATATTGAATATTTACACAAATGCACAAAGTTTTCCTGCTACATTCTGCCAAAAAAGTCACGCTTTAGGATTCTCTGGTGTTTTCCTTCACAGGGTAGTTAGGAAACCAGAAAAAAAGCCCGACACAGCCTCTGTCTAAAAACTAACTGCTACATAATAATTTCTGACAAGAAATGAACAGTTTATATATACATATATATGTGTGTGTGTATATATATAAAAAAATAGTGTGTGTGTGTATATATGTATGTGCCAAAAAATATAACTGATTCAGGACACACATACACACACATCCTGGATCCGCTTCTGGCTCCAGACTGACTTTCTGCAACACTACGTCTTGGTTTCCTCTTTTGTATATATAAAAAAATAGTGTGTGTGTGTGTATATATGTATGTGCAAAAAATATAACTGATTCAGGACACACATACACACACATCCTGGATCCGCTTCTGGCTCCAGACTGACTTTCTGCAACACTACGTCTTGGTTTCCTCTTTTGGTTATGGCAGCTCCTACTGCAAAGGTTTTTAATGATTATTTCTACAGCACCCAGCCCTCGTGCCAGCCAAGGTGCCTGTGCAGAGCCGGCCCTGGAAGCCACCGTGGTTGCAGGTCACGTGGGCTCCTGCCAGGGCGACCATCCCAGCCGGCGGGATGTCCTCGCCACACCTCTTGCCAACCTCAGGTGGGGGCTGGCCGATGGGGCTGGTACTATCCGTTGTGCTGTAACACAGTTAACACATTTTTAAACGCTTATTTCTGATGACTCAGTCTAAACGCCAAGAGCTATTACTATTAAAAAACGAACATAAAGCCATTTGCAGGGCACTCAGATTTTTTTTCTCATTTCTCACAATTATTTTTTCCAACTTCATCTAAATTGCTGCTGGCCTAATTATTATCATCCTGTTTAAACAGAAGCATAATTGACTAGCTGCCTCCAAATGATATTTGAACTGCCTTTGACCTCCTGCTTGCACCGAAAAAGCTTACGGTGCTATCACAAGGAGGATATGATCCCCCAGCTAACATGACAATATGGCAGACTGCAGTGGGAAAACAACTTGGTAGCCTTATGATTCACTTATTATTCAACTTTAATGATTAATTAAATCCCTGCCAAACTTTAAAAAAAGAAAACTTACTCTGCCTCATAATTACCACCCCTTGAACCATCTCTTCACTAGATTAACTTTATGAAAAGGACACACTGCAGAAACTTTCTTCTAGAAATTCAAACTCTAGTAACATATAGTATTTTATTAATGAAATTATGCCATCTTTAACAAAGTATCTGGAATCTAAAACTGTCCAAGACACTGAGATTCTTGATTTGTAATTTAAAAAAGAAATGCTGAAGAAGACTGTATTCAAATTAACAAATTGAATTCATGTATGATATTGATCAAGACCACTCCAATGTTAAAGCACGTGATTGGAGATCACAGCTACTCTTTTTTTTCCTCAACAAAAAGCAGACAGCTAATAAAAGTCAGTATACCAAAGCTCTTTATAAAACCTTTCACAATTAAAAATCATGCTTAACATTCCTAATGCCACTGCACAGAAGGGCTTTCCCTGTCCCCCCATACAACTAAAACCCTTTCTCAGCAGTAGATGTGTATCAATCATGGCAGTGATTCCCAAAGAAACATCACAGTACCAATTTAATCCATGGCAAGCA